CTTCTTCTTCCTTCTTCCGTCGACGTTTAGTTAGTTTACTTACTACTTAAACCTAAACTAAATTAAGTAAGGTAGGTAGTACACGTAAAAAAGTTAAAGTACTCACTATGCCACTATACTCTCTCTCTCTCTCTCTCTCTCTCTACAAATGCATAATACACACTAGGAAATGATCATAATCGATTATAACCACAGTTCACCGAATCAGACGACAAGACAAATAGGAATAACGGCCAACTGAAGTAGACTATTCCTGCACATTATTACAGTTAATTTTAGAGAGAAAAACATAGCATAAACAAATGGAAAAACAAAAAGGATGAATCTACAACTACAAGAGGGAACAGATACCTCTGTACGCCAATAATAGGAGGCCGAGAACTACGACCTCGACACCTCTAAACCAAACGGGCGGCATCGCCAAGATGAATTGAAGGCAGTCGATCCGACGATTGTCGGTGTAGATAGTGGCTAGCGATGTCTCTTCAAGGGGTTTCAACTTTGACCTGAGCAGATAAGCTTCTATCTACGATGAAAAGGAAGCTCAGTTGAAAGTGAAGGAAACCCTAAGTTGATTTCAGGCTTTACAAGACAAGAACTTCTCGGCATTTACTGAAGATGTTGGAAAACATGCAGAAGTTTAATTTTGCAAGCTTTCAGAAAGCACTGTAACTGATGGAAATTTCGATAGAAACGCTGAGAAAGTTAGAGAAGGAAAGAGAGTTTATGTTTCCTCACAGGTACAAAATCAGAGTTTCTATAATAGAGACATAACTTTTCTAGGTTTTGTCCACAAAATAGACGATGGACGAGTTTTGGCTAAAAAAAGGAAGGAAGCTCTAGGTGAATTTCTGGCGCTTTAATGGCGACAATTCACCTGTTTTTTGACGATTTCGGCCTGTTTTAAAAGCATGGATTGAAATCCCCTAATAAATAGTAAAACAAAGGAGCATAAGTACATAAGAAGAGAGTCTGTTATAGAGATGCATAAAAGGAAATGCCATTATCACCTGCAATAAAGCTCGAAACTAAACCAGTTCAAAAAAGCCAGGAAACTACACGGATCGACCTGAGTCTCGACAAAAGAGCCCTTTCCAAAAAGGGAAAACCCTCTTCTAAATGGCGAATTTCGGTAGAACACAGAGTAGAGACCGTGAAATCACAAAAGAGGCAAAACGAATGCCAGAAAGGGAATTAGGGCACAGAGACCAGAACCATTTTCGCCGCATTCAAAGCGAAGATGTATGCTTCCAAGCCATAATGGGCTCGTGTTTTTGCAGGGAAAATACGTTTATAGACGTGCAGAAGGTGAAGAGTTGCAGAGAAGGTGGTTTGAAGCCATTCCAGTATGTCTCTGTTCACACATAGGTACACACGGCGAACATTCTCCATTGAAGCGTGTGCTTCAGCAGGAGAGAGAGAGAGACAGAGAAAGAGAGAGAGAGAGAGAGAGAGAGAGAGAGAGAGAGAGACGACGACGTCGTCGTACGTCGTACGTCGTACGTACGTACGTACGTACGTACGTAACGTAACGTAACGTAACGTAACGTAAACCGTAAACGTAAAC